TGTTGTACTTTTCTTATTTTTATAGGTTAATATTTTTTAAATATTATTCTATAATATTAATTGTATTAGTTATCTTTTTGTTGAGGGATGAGTTTTTAAATTGACTGAACTATATAATTACAAAATAACTTAAAATTTTTATTTTTAATTTTTTAGTAAATATATATTTTAAATTTTTTGATAAAATAAAAATGTAATTAACAAATTGTATTTTAAATATTTTTTTTCCTGTTGTACTTTTCTTATTTTTATAGGTTAATATTTTTTAAATATTATTCTATAATATTAATTGTATTAGTTATCTTTTTGTTGAGGGATGAGTTTATATGGTTACATCACCGATAACGTGTGCGGATCCACATCAATAAGGGCCCATAATGCTCACTTCCCACATTGGACGTACAGTTCTTATTTTTTATTAATTGCTACAATAGAGTTAACATCGTCAGAAACAGCACTCAACATTATTCTCTTATATATCGCCAAGAGTTGCATTTACTCACTTCGCTAGGAATAATACAAACATGTTTTACTTTAACAGCATTCCTTTACACATGGCCAAACACAGCCACATTATCTGCACAATATGGCTAGGCGTTTTTGACGGTCATGTCCTCTACAATAATGTTTACTGTTACATATTTTGGCTCCCAACAATGGATAAAGAGCCTATTTTGTTGCATGGCTCGTATCAATGGATAACGGGCTAATCTTATTATATCTACACAGCTCCCAACGATGGACAAGCGGTCAAATTTACTATCTCATTTAGTCTTAGCAATGGACAAAAGACTACACATTTCTATATATCTTCATTTCATCGGCTCTCGGCAACAAACAAATGGTCGAATTTCTACATATTCTATCTCATTGGCTCCCAAAAACGACCAAAGAGTAGTACAACTCAGTACGATTAGTGTGAGGTCGACAACAGTTGCAACTTTATGATCGGATGGGATGACTACCCTCTAACGATAAAGCAACTTTACGATCGGATGGGATGACTACCCTTTAACGATAAAAAATCCATTAAGTAGTGGCTAGCGATCCCTTGGTGGTTGCCCGTGCATGATGGTGCAGTGCCCGACATGCAACAACAACCAAGACCACCCTTTGATGGTGCGGGTATGGTAAGAAGGGCCAACATTTGTCAGTGGTATCACACATTGTCGTATCGGAGGCCATAAATGCGGCTGGTGTCCCCCTTTCATGAAGACAACTCCACTTTTCTCTATACATATTCATCGCTATGGCGGAGTCTGATATAATGAGATTTACCCTTTCACAACTTGGCAGATTAATGAGAGTGTTCTTCTGATTTCACATAGTTCACGCTCTAGCCATGGGCAAGCTATCCACTGTTATCTCTTTGGCTATGGGGAAGCTATGCATGGCTAACCCCGCAATACATACATAACATGGCCAGAGACCATGCACATAGTCACTCTTCTACACAAAGGAACAAAATTATTGATCGTCGATAATCCCGACTTATAACACATATTTTCTATATCTTACATGTCAATAGGTATCGACGGCCAACGAAGCTTGGCGCTGGTAATGTTGCTCGACTTCGCTAGAAAGAGGCTAGGTGGCAAAGACATAATGAACTTGATTCCCAAAATAGTGTCGTTTGATGCTAATCGAAGATTGGAAATCCCGCCAGAAACTAACCAAAGGTGTTGTCTTGGTCACCATCAGCCACTTGCAGCATATTTAATGTAAGAGTGGCTACACAAGTTCCATGGTCTTGAAAACTACTGTAAAAGATTGTTATTTGCTAGCAGAATCTTTCAAAATCTTATGTAGAGCCTGGGGAACTCATCAAATCCTATGCAGATGTTGTTTTGGCCAGCTACACTCAAGCACCTCCCCAAAGATGGGATTTCGTATGGCTGAAGACATTACCAAAAATATGCAATTTCTAGTTTTTTCGCCAGAACTAGCAAAACTTCATTGGAACCATTAGGCAATTCATGATGCCACTATCATAGAGTTGCCAACAGTGCTTAGAACCACCAAAAATTCAACAACTCACCCTAACCTTTTTGCACACCTTTAAGCCACCAACTAGAAATTACAACAATACCATTGCATATATATAAATTATCTTCCTTTCATTTTTTTTTTTAAAAGAAAAAGAACGGAGAGAAAAGAGAGAGGCATGCAGCACAACAATAGATTTACACACCAAAACTCACATTTTCTCCTCCAAAGAAAAATAGATCCCATCTTCAACCCACTGCTCTACACGCAAGAATCACCCTTAAACCACCATTTTCTTGGGTTTCAGTGTCTCCGGTTCTACAAAGTATTTTCCAGCATCATAGAACATTTTCTATCCCTGTAGAACATTTTCCCGCAACTGCAGAATATTTTTCCAACACTGCAAAATATCACCTAGCACTGTAGAATATTTTCAAATTTGCAAGATATTATGACTGTGGAGCAACATGCTGCAGTTTCAGCTTTCGAGTAGTCCTTCTTGAGCATCAAATGATCAAGATTGCAAGGTTAGCATAAAAAACGGGATCAAGTGTTCCATTTGTAAGCTCCCAAGTAGTCACCCTTCCTTCTCCCATCACCACTCTCAAGTTTATCTCTTTTGTCTTTGGAAGAACCTCAAGATTGGAGTTGCTGCACTCTTCATTTTCAATATGAGGATTGTTCGTTATAGAGTAAAAGTCTACACTAGGGATGAAAGAGGTCACATTTATTGTCATTATTATCATGTTACAATGATTTTTGTATCAATGTGATTCTCAAGTTGTAATCTTTGAACCATATGTGTTTTACATCTCTGTTGCCCTTCCTTAACAACGCACAACTTCTCCCCATCATGTTTTTGGTAGTTGTGTAATCATCTTGAATCCTTGGACTCCCCCCATTGCTGCCCAACTCCACCAGCTTGGCTGGAAGATTTATCCCTTCAAAAGCTTTGTTGAAGAGTTCACTATAAGAAATCATTGCCTAGCAGAGTAGGATAGCTCGTAGCATGTAGCCTTCCGCACATGAGACGGGTGTCGTTGAAAGAACCACCAATTTTCTCAAGTGTCGTCCTAGTCAACCCCCACGTCACCACCGCTGCTGACTCATCCACCTATATCTAGGGATGGCAATTCTCCCCGCTCCCCATGGGGCTCCGCGGGGATCCCCGTCACGGGGACGGGGCGGGGAGGAATATTCCTCCCCGTGGGGCGGGGATGGGGACCATTTTCTCCCCGCGAAATTTCGCGAGGAATTTTCCCCACCCCGTGGGGCCCCACGGGGATCCCCATCCCCGCCAAAAAAAAAAGTTTTTATTTTAAAATTAATTTATTCTTTAAACTCAAACCTAAACCTAAACCCAAACCCAAATCCAAACCCAAATCCAATCCAATTACAATTAAACTTAACCCAATACTATCCAACCCAACCCAACCCACCCCATTCCCCTACATTTAACCCTAATCAATAAATCTAACCCAAACCCAAATATTGAGCCCAATAACCACTTTCACAAATTTACCCATTAAAACCCAAACCCAAAAAACCCTAGTTTTCCTTTCTCTTTAAAAGGGGGGAGCCACTGTGGCTGCAAACGGCAAAAAGGCTG